CGGACTGGATCCCCAATTGCTAATCGGCAACTGTGCCGAGATGGTTGCACGTCTACGCCGTGCTTTCACGCCGTTATGCCGTCCCGATTTGGGTGCTGCTGTTCAGGCCCTGCTGTGCTACAGGCAGCGTCCGCCATCGCACCATGACGCCGTCTCTAGCACCCGTCCCGCGGAGTTCCTGCTGTTCAGGCCCTGCTGTGCTACAGGCAGCGTCCGCCATCGCACCATGACGCCGTCTCTAGCACCCGTCCCGCGGAGTTCCTGCTGTTCAGGGCCTGCTGTGCTACAGGCAGCGTCCGTCATGGCACCATGACGCCGTCTCTAGCACCCGTCCCGCGGAGTTCCTGCTGTTCAGGCCCTGCTGTGCTACAGGCAGCGTTCGCCATCGCACCATGACGCCGTCTCTAGCACCCGTCCCGCGGAGTTCCTGCTGTTCAGGGCCTGCTGTGCTACAGGCAGCGTCCGTCATGGCACCATGACGCCGTCTCTAGCACCCGTCCCGCGGAGTTCCTGCTGTTCAGGCCCTGCTGTGCCGCAGGCAGCGTCCGTTATGGCACCATGGCGCCGTCTCTAGCACCCGTCCCGCGGAGTTCCTGCTGTTCAGGCCCTGCTGTGCCGCAGGCAGCGTCCGTCATGGCACCATGACGCCGTCTCTAGCACCCGTCCCGCCGCGTTCCTGCTGTTCAGGGCCTGCTGTGCCGCAGGCAGCGTCCGTTATGGCACCATGGCGCCGTCTCTAGCACCCGTCCCACCGCGTTCCTTTGTCCACTTTGTCGCCATGCACTGCCCGTTCCGCCAGTATGCCGTTCTCGTTGTGCCGCCGCATTGTGCCTTATGCATCGCAGCGCCGCGCCATCTGTGTCAGTGTACTGTGTCAGCTGCACAACTGTACAGCGTTTACTGACATGGTGCCGCGGCGCCATCACGCGTCGCCTGTTGTGACGCCCCGCCGTCCTTCGACAGTGCTGCTGATGCCGCCGCCTCCGCCACCGCCGGACGAGGCGGGGTCCGCCCGGCCGCTCTGTTACGATTGGTTCCGTGACCCTTCCGACCTCTCTTACCACGCGGCTTGGTCCCGCGGCGAGGCTACGTGACCGGGCTTTGGCCTGGCGCTCTCCAAGCGGCGCCTGCGCTGCCACCTGGTGGCCTGCCGCGGCGACGCCGGCCCGGCGTCGCCAGACCGTCGTTGAGAGGGCCGCGACCGCCCCCACCGGCCTGCACCGGTCACAGCGGCGCTGCTGCAACGGATGACCTACCGCGTGTGTTGGGTGCGCGTCACCAGAGAGCCGGACCGACCGGTGCCGGCGTCGGACTGTCACGCACCGACTGCTGCTGGACAGACTCTCACGTGATAAAGCAATGTTGGTAAAATAATATGTATATTCAACTTACCTTTGTGTACACCTGAAAAGTGAAAGACTCGAAAGATACTTTAAAGCAAGGCCTGATAAGTCACACTTGCCGCGGAACAATGTTAAAGTTGGAAGCATGCAAAATGGTGGCAGTGACCAATGGTCTCCTCTAAGCTTTCAATTCATAAATCAATCTATCTTGACTTCTTTACTTCTGACGGCGCCCTTGCAAATTAAGTTTGCTTTTCGACGGACACGTGCTGTTTGGACCTTGTGACTTCATTCGAGACTATATGCGAGTTGATATGCAATTAGTTTCTGAAATCTGTTGGCGAGAGCCAAACACACAGAACAATCGAGCACAGGACACCGAGCCAATCCGCAGTCTCTGAAATCTGTTAGGCGAGAGCCACGCACACAAGGCAAATGAACACAGAGAAACGGAGCCCATCCGTGATTAATTTCTGAACTCTGTTGGGCACCAAGCCGATCCGTCATCGGTCTCTGAAATCTGTTAGACAAGAGTATTGGGCGCAGAAGGATCGATTCACGCGATCATCGATGGTTTGGGCTCATACTAAGGGGACGGCATGCACGGCTCCGCTCTGCCCACGCGCCGGTTTTGGCGCGGCACGTGCCACGCTCGGCTGACGTCCCATGCGAGACCGCTCCACAGTTTCTCAACGTAGTCGTGGCAGCAACGCAGAGCCGCAGTTTGGAACTCAAGACTCGCCGTGAAGCCTGTAGTGCGAACTTTTTCACTTCTAAACACCACCCGTACAATGGTGAATTCACCGTTGCAAACCTGCTGACGACGATCGGAACATTACGTACACTATCCAAGAAGGTCTAAGACACGCATATGAAATGCTATCGCTTTCGCTTACATATACATCAGGTCTTCTTTTACCGTTTTCAACGTTGTGTTGTCAAGAGACGAGTTTCCACTGGCATAGCGAACGACCATTGCGACTTCTGTTTAGAAGCAGGAAAAACGTCGTCTGTATCCGCTTCGCAATCAGCTCGCATCACTTACATCATCTCTTTGTGAAGTATTGAAGAGACGGTTGAATGGCTGACCATCCTGGTGTTAAGAACACCACGATGGTTTTATAAACTCTGAGTGTGAATGTATGAAGTACCGAAACAAATCACATCCCAGATCTGTCGCGGCATTATACCGTCGATTCGTGACGCCATCACGTGGCGAGTCCGTGCGGCGCGCTGTTACTGTCCGCGTTTGGATTCTGAGCTTGTTTGCCGCGAGCAGTGCGTGCCGGCGGCGTGGTGCGGTATGAGTACAGGATTTGCTAGCTGCGCCCTGAAATTAAACTTTGCTAATAGGTGGCACGTTGCCGCCTCAAGTAAGGAAAGATGGTGTTCGCCCAGACTTTTCCGCGGTTGAGAGTTTTCGGAATAGGAATGGTATGATAAGATATCCTGCTCAACACGCGCATTACCCCAGGCTGACTTGCATTATCGGGCGCGTGTTTGTGAGCGGTCTTATAACATGGTACTTTTCACCTTGCTTCGCGCTGTCCGCATATGTGTCTGTTTTTCAGGCTGAGTTGCTAACCAGCCAGAAAGCAGTTTTTACCGAGGCAGGGAACGATGCTTTACAACACATTCTTTTGAACTCCTCCAGTGAAATTTTCTTCTAAGCGTCCGACATGCTCCGTTTTACAGGAAACTTTAATCCGTCTGGCAGAGCTTCAGCGTTTGTCTGTCTTCATGAGCATACTGGTAGACACTGCTGCCAGACGGGCTGCGAACGCAACGTGTTCGCCAACTCTCCCTCTGGCTGCTAGGCGTGTTAATTTTTCGCACAGCCGTCGGAATTGTAATCCATAGCAGTTGATAACACAAATGCAACATATCAAAGAACACGATCGAATCAAAACATCGCGTTTAGATACGACTATCGTGCTCCCGTGAATCGTGACGAGAAAAGGTTCACTTTGCTGGCTTCGCAGCGACCACACACAATGAATACCAGGCTATCTGTTGTGTGGCAAAGGCAGACCAATGTCTTCCTTGTGATTCTCCCGGTTGGCTCTCCGTGTTATCGACATTTCCACACTTCAAGTCTGTCATTTGCATGATTTCGAACGACGGGGTCCACCACTCAGTTACCAGTCCTCGTCGACAACCGTCAACCAGCCTGGACGAGAAGAACGTGCCGCCCTGCATCGACGCTGATCACCCCTCCCAGACTGTTCATTCAGAACACTAAGCGGAGTCTACAAATGTCCCCAGATGTCCCTCAACACATAATTGCTCGAGTGCTATCGCAGCACACTCAAGAGTCGCCCTGGAGCTGGTCACCCTTCCCAGACTGTTCATTCAGAACACTAAGCGGGGTCTACAAATGTCCCCAGATGTCCCTCAACACATAATTGTCCGAGTGCTATCGCGGCACATTCAAGAGTCGCCCTGGAGCTGCTGAATATGTGAATGTGTGAATCCTTACTCCCGAAGCTGCCGGAAATCAGAAAAGAAGTTTTTCAGCGTGATGCAGTCATCCTCTGTTTCACTAAGACACATCTAACGACGGCACGCCAGATCGCCTTGCCAGTCTGCCCGGGTACCGTGTCTTCCGGCGCGACAGGCAAATCGGTCGAAGTGAATACGGCGAAGACGTTGCCATCTTCATTCGAGAACACCTGCATACCGGCGTGGTGTCCATCGCCCAATAGGCAGGTCCTTCGACACATGTGGAGTCGCTATGGATGAAAGTCAAAGTCGACAGGAAGAGAGCAACTATCACCGGCTGCACGTGTCGGCCTCCATTCACTTCTACGTCACAGACCAGCAGTGACTATGATCATACAGATGGGCAGCTGCAAACCGTCATTGCCGCACACTCTTCCCTCAGAACATCACCGTGGCAGGAGACCTAAACTCTGACGCTCAAATCAACCCGTCTGCGCACAGACCACTTCCAGCGCTCGAGCGGTATGGCCTATTTCATCTAGTCCAACAACCCACCTTCCACCGCGGTGACACCCACTTTGTTCTAGACGTTGTCCTACGCCGCGTGAACTACGTGGACAAAACACACCACTCACATGTGCCGTTCAAATGTGCGACTGCACCTCTCATCGCTGGCGCGTTGTCATCATCACTGCCATTTAACGCACCGGGGTCAGACCCACTTTTCGAACAGGGTGCAACTGGCGTGCCTTAAATGTGAGCACTTCATGGCTGATACACGGGCTGGGGTAAAGTTGTTAGACGTGACGAGGTGTGCGAGCGACAGCGGTAATCCTTTTCCATCGAAATTAATCGCATTTTGGACAGACACGCTCCTACAGACGAAATCTCGCATGGCATGAACAGATCCGAAGTGACGCTTCTTACACTCATAGACCTAAGCCGTTGTTTTGATGTCATGGACCACTCTACTCTCCTGACGAAGCTCCTACTGCTCCAAATTTCCACCGGATGGTTCGAGAGCTATCTGGAGGGTCTCACGCAGCGAGTGGTAGTGGAAAAAAACGCTTTCTAGTCCATCAAACATCGCTATTGGCACTTTTCAGGACTTCTACCTCGGCCCTTTTGTATATCAAATAACCAGGATTATTTTTATAGGTCTCTACGTGTGATGCTATGCCTATCAATAGCCTAATAATGCAGAATTACCTGATGAAGTGCAATAATATACAATACAATGACGTGGTGGATGACGAGTTCCGCTTGATCCATGCCAACACATTTGTTCGCATGTCCAGGGACAATAGGATTTCCGTCATATGCAATCCACGCGAAGTAAATGACACTTTGTCATGGGGAAAATGACCTTAGTAGTCGCTACGCCCTTTAATCTCAACCAAGAACAACGAGGCACATTTGATGCGAAACGGAGTGGCAGAGACTAAATATGAAAGCAGCCTGTGGGACAGCAGTACATAAACAAATAAGCAAAAACGGGAAGATATTTCACAAAATGCCGGGTGTAATATACAACCACTACAAGCATCGTGCCCAAATGCAGGCAGACCATGGTACAACGAGCACCCAGTATGACAAGACTGTGGGGAAACCGGATTCCATATACAAAACAGGAAATCTTGCTCCATGTCTCCTAGAATGGCTTTGGCTGTAGTTGCTTAGGGCGTGACGAAACTGACCACGGCCGTGCACGTGCCTACGCTATAGACTACAACCACCGGTAGTGCGCCGCCGATGGCGCCCCGTTGATGCTGAGTAGCTCGTCCGTTGTGCGCTTGCTCGAGGCTCACTTGAAAACAAAAGGATTGACAGAAATTCTCGGTGGAATTCCTGTAACATCAAAGCGGCTGTTATCGCCGAATAATGTCAAGTATCTTCACAGTCCGGCTGTAAAATCATGACGCAACTGTAGCCCGGTTGGTAGAATGCGAGCAATGGCCAATGCACGACAGGCATGTAGGTTTGTTTACCAGTAATCTTGCTTACTTGGCTTTAAGAGGTGTTTCACATTTAGAGATATTGAATCAGTCACCCCTTATGATGAAATTGGCCCACTCATAACTACTGGTATACTTTTAAGCGGAAAAAACTGCCATGGACAACACTTTTTCTCTATTTAGTAAATACGGTCCTCAATACATTTATTGCGTCATCACACAATGCACAACATTGATTGAGAGCCAACTGACGGCCGTTATATCTGGAAACCGTGCTCACGAACGCCAGGCATGAACGGCTGGACAACATTATTTTCTTGCCCTTGATCGCTGCATTTCCTGTGGAATATGATCTGAATGGCGTTATCACTGCGTTATAGATGCCTGGGTGACCTTGAAGTAGTCTGCACAAAATAATTTGCACACCTTCACGGGCGTTTAGCTCAGAGACTAATGGGGCATAGGTCTTGAGAACGGCAGGGCTGTCAACTGTACCGAATGTTTTTTTCTCTATTGACCTTAACTTAACTAAATATTCCCTCTTAACTTTCGAACTCCCAAACTATCCTGGCGAAGCTGTTTAGGGGAGTGTTCCACACATCTATGGGGCTTTGAAATGAAACAGCCATCTCGAAGATCATTCGGTGCAGTTCACAGCCCTTGACATTCTTGAAACCTGAACCCTTGTGCCTAGTGCCTGAACTGCATGCCAGATAAGATGTACAGACTATTTCGGAGCGCCTTTTTGCAATGCCATCTAGGAATCCATTGCGTTGAATTAACGTCATTCAAATCATACGATCCGATTTGCCATGCGGCGATCAAGGCCAATAAAAACATACTTATCGAGTCGTTCATATATGACATTCGTGGACACGATTTCCAGATATAAAGGCCGCTAGTTGGCTCGCCATCAATGTGCTGCGAGGTACGATAAAGTAATCAGGCAGCGACGTGTTGTCAGCATACGACTAAACAAAGAATATAGCGACGTCGAGAGCAATCTTTTCCACCTCGAAGCATACCAAGAATTATAACTGAGCTTATTTCATACTATCTAATGCACGATTCAGTATCTTCAAACTTGGATCATTCCATTTAAGAAGTAAACTTACATTTACGTACCCGGTTACGCTATTCTGAACTTATTGGATGACGAGTCTTATTCCGCATTGACTACAAATCATGCCCAACCTCTTATATTGTGTAACACAAAACGTGATTCGTGATTGGAGTTTGCAAAGTTCGCGCATCACTGTTTGAGAGCCATGTGACATCAACCATATTTTGTGATTGTGCTCACGAACACCAGATTTGAACGGCTCGACGGCAATATTTTTCTTGACCTTGAACGCCGCATGACCTATGGGATGACAGAATTTGAAGGTCGATGCTAAGGCGTCATGGGTTCGCGTCATATTGTCCAAGGTACAGCATGTCCAAAGGTACAGAATGTCCAAAGTACAGAATGCCCAAGGTACAGAATGTTCAAAGTTCATAATGCCCAAAGCACCCAATGCCCAAAATGAGAAGTAACTTCCAGCATGGTGCAGAGTGGAAGGGATCCGTATCATAATGGGAGGCGTTCATATTGCCCAAGGCACAGAATGTCCAAAGGTACAGAATGTCCGAAGTACAGAATGCCCAGGGTACAGAATGTCCAAGAGGAGAAATAACTTCCAAAATGGCGCAGAGTGGAAGGAGCCAGTTTCATAACGTCCAATGTACAAAATGCCCAAGGTACGGAATGTCCAAAGTACAAAATGTCCAATGTACGTATTGTCCAAGGCACAGAATGTCCAAGAACCAGAGCTTCCAAAATAGTTCTTGGAGAGGCCGCCAGGATGTGAATAATCGCTCTTAATGGTAGGCAGCGTTGCTCCGCCCAGCGTCGGCCGCGTGCATACGGTCGACGCCAGTGCTAACACTACAAGCTTGCGGTCGGTGGGTCGCATAGCAACGGATTCATTTCCCACGCCGGTACAGAGATGGTTTCGAATGCTGTTGATCGGCGAGGCCGCGCTCGACTTGCGGATGATCGTTGAGTACGAGACGAGTACTGTGGAGTGGGGTATTGGACACGCGCGGGGCTGCTGTGAAAGCGTCGCAGCGTTGTCCTCAGCCGGCGTGGAACTTGTTCTGTGTCTGATCGGGGGCGTGTTCGCTATCTGGTCATAGCTATATGCAACTAGAAGTTCTTGTTGCAACTGTTGTTTATTCTAAGTGATTGCTGTCGCGTTTTCACCACAACTAGCCCACAACGTCCAACGGAGAAAACCTTGCAAGAAAGAGGAAAGTATGGGTATCAATAATTTATGCTGCCTATCGGGGTAATAGCCTGTTTCTGATCAGTTATCACCGGGATCTAAGTCAAAAGTGCAACATTTTACAAAACACACTACATTACAAATCATAGAATATGATCCAGTGCATAGCCACATGTAATCGAGACGCTGCACATAATACCAGTTAGAACAATTAGCTGGTGCATCAAGAGATTGGTGGAGACTTTTCATTGCTATGGATTCCCCACATAAATGTATTGGGTCTGGCAGGGGCGGCGCCAGGAGATATAGGTTAAGGAAAGGCTTTTCCAGAGGGCTTCTTGAACAACATGGGGTCTCCTTTCCAGAGGGGTGGGTGGGGGGGGGGGGGGGGGCTTCCAGGCCTGGTCCTTTTGAAGCGGACATCGAGACATGCACCATGTGACCCCTCATTTAACTGGACCATGCATTAATATTCATGTAAATCAATGTCGACACGAAAAAACCAGAATAGGGGAGTGCGTAGATGTTAAACTGTGTTAAAGTCTAGTTTCAGTGTGTAAACGTGACACCAGTCAAGACGTGAACTAGAAACCCTGAATGGGGGGCCAAACGCATAAAAAATACATCCAAGTTGTCAAAACATGACTGTTGTCTTCTACAGCTGTCCACTCACTCCCCCGAGCTGGTAACTTATAAAGCAACGAAGCAGTTACGCCGCTGACGAAGCAGCAACGGTGAGCTTGTCTCCCTAGCTGGGAAAGATGAGGGTCAGGAAAACTACATTCTGAAGGCTTAATGCCCGGAAGATCTACACATGGAATACCCACACTCGGATTGCCCACACTCAGGAGACTTCGAAAGAACCTTCTACTCCTTCAGATGAGACACTAAAAGGAAATGGGGCAAATAACGAATGTGGAGCGCTGAGGGCGAATAACGGGGGGACTCAATCCTACCCACACCGTCACATGTGGGTTGGGCATCACGCGCTAACTGATTGAGCTACGGCGGCGTTTCTGCTACTTTCTACCCACCAGTCCAATAGGAGGCACCGATTAACAAGCCATGAGATCCCGCCAGGTTGAGAGGTGCTGTGCTTAGTTTCATATAACTAGGAAGTTAGTTCGTAAAGTGGGCGAAATCTGAGGACAACTTCGATTTTTTAGATATGCTCGCCCTGCAAGGGAAGTCGGTGACACTGCCTCTGTTCATCGCATGAGACAAACCCAGAAATGCATTGCTCGTGAAAAAAAACAGGCAACGCTTACACGTGTGGCAAACGATAATGTTTACAGCAGTACTGCAACATACACACACACACACACACACACACACACACACACACACACACACACACACACACACACACACACACACACACACACACACACACACACACACACACACACAGGCGCGCGCGCGCGCACGCACGCACGCACGCACGCACGCGCAATTTTTTCTCACAATTGTGAAATCTCTGCCAAAAACACGGGTACGTCAGTACCCCGAGAGACACGTGGCTATGCAAAGATTCCACGCCAATATTTCCAAAATATTATGATAATTCAACAGTTCCAGGAAGTGCACATGGTCACCTGTGAATACGTTAACGCAAAACGCGCAACTCACAGGACCTGTGAATGATCGACTTGTTGCAAATCTGTGCAAATCCTAACAAGAAAAAAGTATTAAAATAATCAAGCATGCAAGCTTTCATATCCTGCTCTTAAGCACACAACACTACTGTAAGGCTTACACGAAGCATCGATGGCTAGACCAGAAGGTTTCGATGGACTGTATCACAGATGAGAAAGCAATTCGCTACAGGAAATCTGTGTCCAAATCAATCAGCAGACAACTATTGCTGAACGTACCTTAGCGCGCATGTTCAAGACCATATTACGTAGTTTTCTTATAAGAAATCAGCTGTGAAAGGATCTTGAGCATATTAAGACGAACATGGGTTAGCCATGTTAGTACAAACTAGGAACCCCATTTCACCTTCAATCTACGGTCAGGGAGAACTCAATATCTCTGAAGAACACAGCACAACACGGAAATGGAGTCTATGTGACAATTATTGGACTTTCTGCGGTGATCAGGGATGTTGTTGCATCAATGAGAGTTCCTGTGCTGATCCTGGGCTACCTGAGCGGGGCAGAAGGCCGCCCGCGTCAGGGATGGGAACAACGTGATATGATCCTTCCAATGATCTCCGGATCGACCAGGAATCCCGCCCCGTGTCGCCAGAAGGATAGCCAGAAGACACTTTGCGATGGGACGGAATGGCCCTTCAGCTATTGACCGGAAACGGTAATGTACCCCTGATGTTCCATTCAAGAGGCCCCTAACCCGGAATGAAATAAGGAGTGGCAGTATTGTTGAGTAGAGTGGGGTCTCATTATTGTTGAATAGGATAGGTCGAAATAAGCTTAAAACACGAGCAGGTTCATGCCATGTTTGCATGAGAACGTTTATTTTTCAGAATGTACTAGTGAAGCAAATAACATCAAAGGGCTTGAGCATACCCGCCCGCAACCTCAAGAGCAAGGACAAGGATGGTCTGGGTTGCAGCTTTCGTAAAACCGAAAAGTTTCGGCCACTGCAAGTACCACTAAATGGCGGGCGCCGTGTTAATCTGTCTTCTGGATAGATAAAGTCCTGCAAAAACACGAAAAATAGACATTTTACCTTCACTCTTCCAGTTCAATCACCAGATTCCGGTTCCACTTCACAGTGGTTTAACGGCCAATCCGTTCATTTCATCAGTCAAAAAAATTGAACACGTGAAATATGCGCTCCGACTGTCTTCTTAATTTAAGATCTGATGTCATGGGGCGCTCAAGAATACTTTTTCAGTAGCGTCATCATTTTCGTCCACCCGTTGGCCACAGCCTAGGATCAGCTGCTAGGCCGACGCTGCGCAGCACACGGAGACTGCAACGCCTGTGGTCGAGGCTTGTGTTTCTAAGATTTTAGAGTGCGCATGCTCAAAATTACGTCACATAACTTGTATTAATAGTAGATGGCAGTTTTTAGAGGTAATCATTTCAGAAACGTCATCATTTTCGTCCACCAGTGGGCCACAGCTAAAAGTTAGCTACTGGGCTAACGTTCCGCAAATCATGGAGACTACAACGCCTAGTACCGAGGTTTTGGTTGCTAAGATTTGCGAGCGCGCATGTTAATACAGCAGGTTACATAAATTGTATCACTAACAGATTCTTACTGAGTGGTGGACATTTCCAGACAAGCATGGCTTGGCCATGTTAATGCACGTTGTTGACCACTCGATCTGCAATCAAATTTTCATCTTCAAATTTTGATCAAACACATCGATCTCCAATCTGCCTGTCTACTTGTTGATCTGCAATCTACTCGCAATGTCCTCAAAGTCTGTAGAGCCCAGGTGCAAATTATGACAAAGCTCCTGAATTATATCGGCTTAGATAAAGTCAGCTAAACCATTGTAGATCAGGAGCGCCGGTGATTTATTCCATGCAGCTGTTCAAGCCTGATTTCTGCAGTTTATTGACCTTAAAATACAAACATAAGTGAGCTCACGGTAGCTCCTGGTTTCTGTTCGGGTTACAAAATAAAAATAAGAATACGACTTAAGAAAACCGTGTCCCTTATTAACCAGAAACCTACATCCGGCGATTTTTTCTGGGGGGGGGGGGATCACCATAAGATGGGCTTTTGTCAACCCTGTGTTCTTCCTTGGCAAAGCTCTGGCTACGCCCCTGCCTACGCACAAATGTTGTGTACGTTTCATGATGGACAATGAAGTGTCAGTTGGGCCAATCCATAACTAAGGCAGACAGCTCCCCGGAGGCTATTTTTCTGCGACGGTGTGGTATAAGGGAAGATACTTCGGAAACAATACTGTTGCAGGTGTCCAACACATGTTTCATACACCACGCAGTAGTAATGGTGATCCAAAAGTATGCAACAAAGCAGCCATACGATCAGCTCGCAGTCAGTCATGCGGGAGACATCCGGGCCAGGGCAGTGACCACCAACGGCGGACAGGAGCAGGGCCCAGATAAGGAACATATGACAGATGGGCCTTATTACGTGGCTTGATTCTTAAAAGCACTGTGAGCCATTGATCCATTTTCAAAATTCTCCCCAGCCTATGTCCAGGCCGTATTTTGGCATTTACACTGCGGAGGCAGATGCCTCCTCAATGACCCAAAGTCCCTACCCGCTCGTTCAAGTTCTCTTTCCTAGGAGGGACAATGCTACAATGGACGAATAACCCTGGGAAGCTGGATAGCCTTATTTGCCAAATGACAGATGAGTGGAATAGGCAAGACTGTGCGCCAGCGAGAAACAGCTCTAGATACATATCTAGCATAGCGGCCATGATATTTGAATAAAAAGCGATAACAAGCCTTCATCCATACCCCTTTCCCGCCGGTCATCGGGCTCCCTTTCCAGAAAAAGCACCTGGAGTACACCTTGAGCTTGGCCCCCCACCTTTTGAAACGTTCCTACACCTTTGATTGATGCATATATGACAAGTTTGATGAAGTTTTATGACAGTCCTTCTTCTATCGATTTCGGTAAAGAAGCCTGACGTGAGCTTGTTCCATGAACCAAAACGCGCAAGCGTCATCGGCGTGTCGCATGTGCGATCATGGTCTTATATGGCATATAACTGGGCGAAGAGATGAATACAGACATAGCATAAATGATAAAGTCTAGCAAGATGACAGTTCAGATACTATCACTACACGCGAAAACACTAAACGTGACACAGAATGCAATTTTTTTAGGAGTTCTCCGTTTATAGAATGGTGTCGGTATAGTGAGCATTATGGACGAAAACTTGATAGCATATCATTCTTCGGTATTACACCAACTGAGTGCTTCCTGACTGTTTCCAAAAATCATCTCACAAATTCGACAATAGCCTGGTGCTCTTCGCAAACTCAGTGCACAACTTGAACGTATAGATAGAGGTAATAGCCGTGTACCACCCCTAGCTCTAGCATTTGTTTTCATTCATCTGTCTTTCAAATGAGGCTTAAATCAAGGTTGTACATCAGACATATTGACGAAATTTGCTACATCAGGGCCCAGGAGACTGACTGGTTAGATTTCTTCGCTAAAATTAGAATCGCTACTCCAACATGTCTGTCATACAGGCGCAGAGCGCTCAATAAAGTTGATGGCTTCCTCGACACCTTATTTGTAGCATCGCTAGGTGGGACCTAAACCACAGCAATACGTTTCAAGCCCATGGTGCCCCGATTATACTACACTTCGCGTCGGCACACCCATGACTAAACAACAAGCAGCCATGAAATTTCAAATATGGAGAGCGATGCGCGTTTCTTCTGGCCTTCAGTCGTGTGAGCATAATGTGTTTGAAATTGAATGAACAGGGAAGTGCTCCTCGTTTTTCATGACAATGTATGCCCACAAAAACGATTGTCCTGTGCCGCTTGTATTGCGCCTCCTCAATGCTATTCCTCTTCGCGTCCAAAAAGAAGCCGTGAAAAGGTGAAACAAGGCATTCTGCTTATGTGGAACACGTCGTTATAGATGACGTAATGTAAGAACAGGTATATACCGCGCTACCACTGCACAGTGGAGTAACTGCAACCAGGGGCGGGTCCAGTATTTCGCGAAGGATGGGGGGGGGGGGGGGTTATGCAACGTTGTGGTGCCCCCTAGAGTTTGGGTCCCCTCCAAAAGAAATCATGCCATTCAATTTTAAGATAAAAAGGATGTGCACATTACATCATTGGCTTTTTAGCCAAAGTAGCGCTAGCTTTTAGCCTTAATATTTTAGTTCTTTTTAGCCCTCGTTTTCCAAGGGCTGCGCAGTATGACATAGATTTTAATACTTGTCATTTGTTATATGCGTATATGTACATGTATATACCCCCCATATATATATATATATATATATATATATATATATATATATCCATCAATATATGTATGTATGTAGTAGTAAATACGGGAACCCACGCAAACAATATGAACGACTTTAGGGTAGCATGATTAGCAGTCCTCACACTAACTTCATTCTAGTTGACGGCTCCAGGAAACCCTAATGTTCCGTTGGGGGTCAAAGCTCGTCATGTATGAGCCAAAGGATTGAAAATGAAATGAAAAATGGGGTAAGACATCAAATGTCCAGCAACATTAGTACAGGGACAGTTCAGGTGCGATAATCGAGGCGTACGATTTCAGACCGGTTCATTGGACAACTCAGTGGCGCACGTACACAGAAGGTGTGCACATGGTTACGAGGAAAACATCACAGGTAAACACGTTAAGTATACCTAATGTCGAATTAAGTAACTGCTTCCCGTGCGTGGTTGGTGGCTTCCCGTGCGTGGTTTTATAATTTCACTTCATGTTCCGCCTGCTTTCAATGCTTTTTAGCAGCCCAAAATGCAAGCAAACCTTACCGGACTCAACTTTGACAATTAGTGACTAATGCTCGGTGCGGTGCGTCCAGCCGACTCCACGGCGTCGTGGAGCGGACATGGATTTGTTACTAAGCAAGTAATTCGGCCCACCGGCCTCACGCGCGTGGTCTTCGCAATGGTGTCGGCTGTGTGCGCGTGGCCGGCGCTGGGCGGGGCAACGCTGCCTGCCAATAAGGGCGATTATGCACACCCTGGTGGCCGCTGTAGGAGCTAGTTTGAAAGCTTTGGTGTTTGAACATTCTGTACCCTGGACAATACGCACATTGGACTTTCTGTACTTTGGACATTCTGTACTTTGGACATTCTGGACATTGGGCATTTTGATACGGACCGCTTTCGCTCTGCACCAAGTTGGAAGTTGCTTCTCATTTTGGGCCTTGTTTGCTTTGGGCATTATGAATTTTGGACATTCTGTGCCTTGGGCATTCTGTACTTTGGACATTCTGTACCTTTTGACAATATGATGCGGACCAACATCTTCGCGGGAGCCAGAAACAAGAGGGTTTTATGTCTCAAGAATGGCAGAGCTGCAGCTGCGGAGCTGCAGCGAATGATCTTCTAAATGGCTATTTTTGTTGGAAACTTTATGCAGATATCGACCAATGCCTATAAGTTTTTTTTTTGGCAAGACGGCTAGGCTGCATGAACAAATGAGGCACGGCTAGCATTGAATGACGAATGGTATGAAGAAATGAGACGAACATCATCAACCTCGCGTGATTATTAAAACATGGGGAATATTTTTGATCGAAAAAGTTACCTGCACAGGCCGAGGAATGTTGCACAATTGATACACGGTAAAAAACGCAATGCAGAGGCCTAGAAGCATTTATGAAATTGCACAAAATTTTGCCTTCCCTCCGCATGCTCGCTACAGACCCAAGGGAAACGAGTCTTTTTTACTAACCCGATGGAAATATGGAATACGGTCGGCATTTGCCGTTTATTTCCTGTTGGCCTTCGACACACCGCCACGGGCCTACCACTCCTGGTCGTGGTAGGTCTGCAGGGATACCTGAAGCATAAGCACGGTCCAGTCAGGTATATGACGATGTTGCCAGGTCACTCATAATTCAGCTATCGCCTTCCGACGGTGGGGCCCGGTTCTCTGCCCCGTCTGAAGTATGTTCGAGTGGACGACGGTAGCCATACGGTTCGGGCCGACCCCGGTCTTGCTTGTGCTAACGTGACACAACATTTTAGACACGGCACAATATTGCCACACGCTGGTTGGTGGTCGACTTCTTTGAAAGTCGCAAACCCTAGCATGATGCACCTTAACGAGAGTATACTGGCGTTGCTAACCTTGCGGTATGTCAAAAGCTCGGCAGACACCGTCCATTTTGGTCAAACCGGGAGGGCACCACCAATTAAACACTATGGTCACCTGCCACGAATCGCCATCAACAGAACGCATGGGCGGCGAGGGTGGCGGCGCGCGTGCCCCGTTGCCGGCACACAGACAGAGCAGCACGACCACAGCCACACGCGACACCGCCATGTCGACGGGCGTCGGCGCACTGACGTTGTCCGGACGCTGACCTGCCATTTGCCGCCCGCCATGAGAGTCTGGTGCAGCGCCGAAACCAGCCCCTATAAACATCCGTGCGAGCACGGCCTGAGGAACGCATTGATGATACACTGATTGCAACCAGGGGGGGGGGGGGGGAGGGGGAGGTGATGGCGAGCAGATGCCTATGTGGGCCCCACTACTGGAGCGGGGGGGGGGGGGGGCGTAGTATAGCTGTAGTCAGCTGCTGTGGAGTGTATGTCACTGTATCCTGAAATGTTTTAAGGAAATCATACTTAAAACAAACAGCATGTTCAGCTTAGGGCTCAGAGTGGCCCAAAAGCTATTCTGAAGAAAAACTTGAGAGGGCATCTGAGCCCCTCTTTCAGTGAGAGGGTAGTTTCACGGCGTTGGATCGTCACCTGATATCTAGGGGTTGCATTTGCTCAGACCACACACTCAGATCAACGCATTCATAAGTTCTAATTGCCAAGATCACCAATCCTTGACCATAATGCAGGCGGGATTCTCGTCATCCTTGATCTGGACGAGGGTGTGATGGGGCCCCTCCTCCCTAAAATCTATGAAACCGGTTGACTAAATTTGAGTAACAGAACGGAGATATGGGCTGCTAAAAACGAAATCTATATGATTTCCGACAGATGGACAACAGAGGAAAAGTTCCCCAAATTTGATTACGTCTAGGTGAACGTTGGAGACACGTTCGTCCAAGAAAGTTCCAAACAACCATTTTAAGCTGCACGCACCCTAAGAAGCTTGAAAGTTCTCAAGGGAATCTGCGAAACTCGCATGGGGTATGGAATAACTTAATAGCACTTGCCACAGAAATGACAATAACCACGGGTGCATTCAAAGACAAGCACAGGAGTACCTATCCCTGGCAACTTTCGTTTCCTATTTTCTACATACGTTGTGTATTGGCTCACATTTGATATACGCGCACACGGTCCGTGATAGATGCTGATGCACATTACACACCTTCTTTATATTCGCGATCACACATTGCTTGCACAAATGGGCAGCGAGAAATCAGCACCCGTACGATATAATTACGTGCGTGCTACGTAATCCAGACGCTACAACAGCGCCCATACACAATCATTTCATATGTCCCCTCCCCCTCTGCTGTCCTACTCCTAACCTATCGATATTTTTCCTTTTTTTGCAAATATCCGTCAGGGATCATGCTAGGCGCCACTTTCGTCAAAACACAGTGTTGACGTGGTTCATTGCAGGTCAGTGACCTATTTAGCCTTTGAAAAGTCCATGGAATGGGCATGTTGCGGTCCCCGCCATTGATACATCCGAAATGAGCACCAGAAGCTATCTCATAATGCATGCACCCCAGTTAAAGGCACATTTATTCTTACCTAGATTTGACCTTCATGCCTAGCCTAAGATCCATACAATTTGTCGTAATCGTAAGTACATTTCCCCCATTGTCTAAAAAGTCATCCCATAAATTTGTGGCTTCGTATGACACTCTGTTGTCACATCAGATAAAACGATTTCCGAGAAATGATCATTGCTTCGAGCCACGGCCCAACTTTGGCGTTGATAGGCCAGCGACCTTACAGGGTGCATGTAATTTCTTCTACCGAAATATTCGCTATTTAATTGCCCACAGCTGAGCAAAGTTTAGTGCAGCTGCACCGTGCCTTTCTCAGATCATTCTGGAAAAAACTTGGGGGTCATCTACCCCCTCACCCAAGCAGATGTTAAGAAATACGCCTCCAACCGTGTATTTTGCTCTAACTGGAATTAACTAAGCAGAGTGCTATTTTGTCATGCGATGTTTGCAATCAACCACATTCTTGCCCTTTAAAGTGGTTTTATAAATACTGGTTTCCGAATTAGGTCGATGAAATGTAATGTACTTCTAAATTCAATTGGTTTATTATCTATGAAACTATCTCAGAGATGTATGACTTCGTCTAACACTAGGTCGCCGTGCCAGAATGAACGGTTCCGTAGAAATGCCTCCGCTACTAGCCATGGTCTGACCTTGACCTGCCATATGTCACTGACATCACAGGGTACCTAGGAATGTGTTTATACTAAAAAAAATATACTTGAAAAAATAAATTGCCTGCAGCTATGGAAATTCTAGCGTGGCTACGCCGGGCCGTTCGGAAATCATTCCGGAAAAAACCTGGGGAGAGGCAAATTGATCTCCATCTGAGCGCTTAACACAATCGTTTCTTACTCGCCTTATCTTACTTGTAATAACTAGCGCTGAAGTGATTCAAAGCCATTGTGCATCCTTCCTATTCAAGCCAGCCCCAAACCCGCACGAATCTGATCCACGTCAGGCGCATCGGTCACCGACTTCAACTACCTGACAACGTGTCTTTAGTGACTTTCGAGGGCTTACGTCGCCACAGAAATCTCGTAATATGGTTCTATGTCTTTTCCAGTGAGGACGAAAGATTTATGCAGCATGTCGCCACATGCACCATTTGTGATATCAAAAGAGTCATTCTTCCATACACCATCATTCTTCCTTTGGTTGTGAGGTGTCTTTGGTTACATGCATTAAATACGCCCCCAATGGACCGAACGACTGTTGCTATATTTTATTGACCGCTTGGTTCTATTGCACTAAGCCAAATGCCGAATATTTTAGTTTGCTTGCTACCTTAACTCGGTCGATTGATTTTAACAATTTTTTTAGCCGAACTGGCCATAATACTTATTCTTACTCAAGGTCAACTCAAGTCCCGACGCGGTCTCAGATATCAACGACATATCTAATACCTCTTCGACCCATGTCTGGTATATTAGCCATACAAAATGTCATACATCTGCACACGTGCCGATCTTTACTTGCATATCGCTTACCTCAGTTCCGTGAATATCTGAATTCTTATCTTGCTGCTAAAGTTTCTGTTACTAACATAAACCACATCCCCTTTCATGGAGATCCCTGAAAAGTGTCCGCGGAGCAAGGAATCCAATTTGATGTGTGTCCATTGTTTATGACAGCTCATTGTGCGCCACTACATAATGGTTTAACGCAGGACTTCAAGTTTCCTCCGAAACTAGGCTCTTTCATTTGGAACATGATAGCTCATGTTCAATGAAGGACAAATGTACTTTTGTATTCTGTGGGTAACAGCAATCTACCTAAATAATATATTCTGCATTACTTAATTACGTCTGATATCAACCTTATGTTTTCATGCAGATGCTTTGCCTGGCTCATTTTCGGGGCTCACTGCATTGGCCGGTCACGCTCGCAGGCGTCCAGGAGCCGCCACGGTCACCTCGGGGACGTCCCGGGGCCGTCCAGAGCCTCCCACGCGGGCTACAAGGGAGTGGTCGGTGCACCAGACGGCGCCGGCCGCGAAGGCAGGCGCAAGGCTCGACAGCGCTGGACTGATATACAGCCCACTTCTCCCGGTCTGGTGTCTGCTTCCAGCGCTCCGTGCCTCGTGACGCCCTTCTGCTTGCTTCAGTTATCGATGCAATGCTTGCTTCAATATACTCAAATGTCGAACATCTCCTTTAAGCCGGGTATCGACGCGGAGCTTGGAGTCCGCTCCCGGAGGTGGGGTACCGGAGGTAGGGAAGCGTTCACTCATGAGCGTGATATACACATCTCTCCTGAAGACGGTGACAAGTGCAACGTCACTAATCTATTTTTGATCTAATTTATGATCCATAACATTAGATCCATAAAATAGAGCCTAAGATGGCTAATGATGGCTTAAGGTTGCTTATGGCTCTAGAAAATAGAGCCATAAAATAGAGCCTAAGATCCATACAATTTGTCGTAATCGTAAGTACATTTCCCCCATTGTCTAAAAAGTCATCCCATAAATTTGTGGCTTCGTATGACACTCTGTTGTCACATCAGATTAAACGATTTCCGAGAAATGATCATTGCTTCGAGCCACGGCCTGAATTTGGCGTTGATAGGCCAGCGTTCCTACAAGGTGCATGTAATCTCTTCTACCGAAATATTCGCTATTTAATTGCCCACAGCTGAGCAAAGTTTAGTGCAGCTGCACCGTGCCTGTCTCAGATCATTCTGGAAAAAACTTGGGGTCATCTGTCCCCACACCCAAGCAGATGTTAAGAGATACGCCTCCAACCGTGTACTTTGCTCTAACTGGAATTAACTAAGCAAAGGGCTATTTTGTCATGCGATGTTTGCAATCAACCACATTCTTGCCCTTTAAAAGTGGTTTTCTAAATACTGGTTTCCAAATTAGGTCGATGAAACTTGATATACTTCTAAATTCAACTGGTTTATTATCTATGAAACTATCTCAGAGATGTATGACTTCGTCTAACACTAGGTCGCCGTGCCAGAATGAACGGTTCCGAAGAAATGGCCTCCAGCTACTAGCCATGGTCTGACCTTGACCTGCCATATGTCATTGTCATCACAGGGCACCTAGAATATGTTTATACTTTTTAAAAAAATTGATACTAAAAAATTAATTGCCTGCAGCTATGCAAATTCTGGCGTGGCTACGCCGGGCCGTTCGGAAATCATTCCGGAAAAAACTGAGGAGGGGCAAATTGATCTCCACCCAAGCGCTTAACACAATCGTTTCTTTCTCGCCTTATCTTAATTGTAATAACTAGCGCTGAAGTGATTCAAAGCCATTGTGCATCCTTCCTATTCAAGCCAGCCTCAAACCCGCACGAATCTGATCCACGTCAGGCGCATCGGTCACCGACTTCAACTACCTGACAGCAGTGTCTTTAGTGACTTTCGAGGGCTTACGTCGCCACAGAAATCTCGTAATATGGTTCTTTGCCTTTTCCAGTGAGGACGAAAGATTTATGCAGGCATGTCGCCACATGCACCATTTGTGATATCAAAAGGGTCATTCTTCCATACACCATCATTCTTACTTTGGTTGTGAGGTGTCTTTGGTTACATGCATTAAATACGCCCCCAATGGACCGAGCGACTGTTGCTATATTTTATTGACCGCTTGGTTCTATTG